GACTCAGCTCTCCGATTCCTCAATCCAAGCCGCTATCGATTACTCAACCGTGCCTCCTTTTTAGCTAAAAACAGAACATCACCCACTCTACAGTCTTGAAGTAAATATCGCAAAGAGAAACATGTGAGTTTCGATAAATGAATACATGGAAACTGATGACTCAGTTGTAGATTTTAATGATGAATGTAGAGCTACATTTAGTGTAGTATAGTCTCTGTTCTTTATGGAGATTCCCAACTATTATCAGTCAGTCATGAGCCATACGTGATACACGTTTAGGCGATCATGTATCTTTCGATACATGACTGACGGAGCAGATATTTTTTTCCCACAATAGGTTTCCATTTCTTTCTGCAGTAGACCAGTGGCCATGTAAGGCTACAGAACCCGGTCTGGCCTGCAATTTACCAATAGCTGGAAGAAGAAGAAAGGTTTCATAACTTTCCCAAGGATATTAACACGTAATGGATTCGATTGGAATTCGAACTCGGTTCTCTGATTCCTCAGATCAATGTCTTATTATGAACGAAGCCTGTAGGTTTTGTCAAGGACCATCCATCTTCGAAACTCGTGATCTAGAACTACTGAATCCGAGACACAGAATTATACCAAATAACAGACACCCCATCACTTTCAACAGAAGCAACAACTAAAATGGATATCACAGGTAACTCGGTGAGAAAGTAATGACTTAATATGATGATATTCCACATTATTTTAGACAGAAGGTTAGGAAGAAAATCCACAATACTAATGAGATGAGCAATATCTACATTCTTAACGCCCTCATATTTAGAATGATATTGTATTGTTTAAACATCTATGTGTGGGAATGAGGTTAGAACCACAAATGGACTTCTTTTTTTATTTATATATATGCCAAATATACATTTTTGATAAGGTATTAAATAAAAGGAATTAACCCTTTGGATTCTGACCACCACTGTACAGGCTGTAGAGAAAATCATGTAATGCTCTGCCACTGATTGAAAAAATGACTTAATACCCAGCCACCGGTTGAACGGTGGGTAAACACCTGTAACTATTTTTATATCTGCCGTGAAACATTACATACCAATTATTTGCGAATTTTAACTCAGAAGCTCAGGCAGAAGGATTAAATTCTTCAGGAACGCAAGGATCAAAGGGTTAATTCTTAGCAAATAGTAAAAAAAAGTGAGATTAGCCGTTTCCATACAGGGAACATTAGATATTCATTGACCATACAATTAGTGTTATTGCTAGTTCTAATTTACAAATCCTTAGTTTCAAAACATTTTCCCAAAATTATGCTTCTTTTTTTTTCTTTATTTTTTATTTTTTTTATTTTATTTTTTCATTTGTCTAGAGGCATATCGACCTCTCAATGTTATTTAATACCGAAATCAAAATTTTCTGTGCGCATTTTTTAGATAATAATGGCTTTATTGATACACGTCTTACTAATTAACCCATAGCTGTCGGGAGAAGAGGTTGATGCATGCCTTTCACAAGGCTATTTTCTTGTAAATGAATATAAAGAACCCAACAGGATTTAGAACTCGGCTCTTCGATAAACCATTCCGTGTCGTTACGGCGGTGCGAATGTGACTGAAGCCGCGATTGCAAATTCTTTGGATTTCGTCCAGAATTTCAAAATACAGGACAGATGCAGCAGACCAAATGTGACAACAATATTCAATGCCTGGACGAATAGTAAACTTATAAAAATGCAACATAGATTCTAGTGAGAAAAATTGACTAAAGCGACACAATAAACTAACATTTATAGCAGTAAACCTTAACAAGTGATTCAATATAATCTTTTCACTATACCTCAGTGGAAAACGTTAGCCAGAGAAGGAGCAAGAAGTCACTCGCTTGGAGGTTAGTATCAGCCATACTGGTGGAAGGCAAACACGATTCTCTTAGACGATTAAAAAAAAAGCACTTTCGTTTTGAAAGCGTTAAAATTAACAAGCCATTTCTTCCTCTAAATGACAACAGACTGGTCATTTTTTTATATCAGCTGTTGATCAAACCTATCGAATCGATCAGACTTCCTATTGACAGGAGTAAATAGTTGTGTCATCAGCATATATATATATATATATATATATATATATATATATATACATATATATATATATATTTGGTTGGATAGGTGTGAGTTTGTGACCCTGGGTTTCACGCTTTTGCGATCGTCAGAGAAACTGATTAATGTTTTTAAAATTTGGGGTTTATGTAGATTGCGTGTATTGTTGTTATTATGGAAGGGGGTGGAAACGTCGTCATGATGTCACTCATCCTAACGCAAACATCGATGTATGTTCATACGCCCAATCAAGTACGCAGACACACATACACACTTGGTCGTCCGTCGGGACTCATACATATATAAACATATGTGGACAGTTTCGGATATAACATATGTATGTATACGGGTGGTGTTGTGTCTATACATACGCATTTACCGCGCATATAATATATAAATAATTATATATATATATTTATTTATATTTATATACACACTTTTCCCATATATATATATATATATATATATATATATATATATATATATATATATCAAGGAATTATGACATAGGGGATGTCGTTAATGAAAATAAGGAACAACAAATGTTCAAGGTTATTTTATGACACATTCCGGGTGTAACAGCAAAATTGTCTAATTGTCAGATTAAGCTTTGAACCATTGTATCTTAGAAATGATTAAAGATACCTTACTGGAATTCTCCAAGGTATTTATAACACTATTTAAAAATAAGAATGTATAATTATTCTCCAATCTTAACAGATGAGTCGTAAATGAAAATATATTCATCTTTAAAAACAAAATCATACTTTGGAAGCACATGAAAGACTGAAATGAAGTTCATATATATATATATATATATATATATATATATATATATTTCAGGATCATTTACAAACTTATTCAAATGATCTTCGCCCTCGCTAACCTTCTAACTTTCTGTCCTGGAGTAAAGATTTGCCACATAGGTTTCAAGTAAGATTTCATTTTCAAGTCTTTTTCACTTCCCTTTGGACTATCATAACTCCTCTCTCACGGTCGAAATGTCTTATGGATTGGGTTGGATCTTTTCTAATTGATTGCTCTAGCTCTAAGTTGAAATGATGATCCCTCTCCTTGTTGTGGACACCTGATCCAGTTTTTCTACTGTTCTGTCGTTTTTAAACTTAATCACTGTTTTCTTGATGGTTCTTCAATAGACATTGAAGATGGAAGCCAGAGTATGAATGTTGGTACCATTACTGGGGGTCTAAATATTCTTCTAAGTCAAATAGTTTAGTGGGTTTTTTTGTTGTTGTTTTTTTGTAGATATTAAACATTTTGTGCGATGGACAATTATGCTGTTACACGATTTGGACAATTTTTATGTTACACCCGAAAATTTTAATACCGTTTTCTTCTGCTGTGTGTATATTCACACTTTATATTTTTCTTTATACCAGCTGATTAAGATTCCATTACTATATATAAGTAGACAAACAAGCCAAAACCCAAAGGCGACTCCCGGTTTCATGCTAAACGCAATCGTCAGGCTAAATCGTCTCTCAGGACTTTTCACTTGTCAAATGTCAATAAAGTTAATGTTCCTGTCGGAGAAAACATTTTCTTCACTTATATTTAAAATGCTGTGTGTGTTTCAAGATAATCTAAAATTTTACTGGAGGCACATGAACCCTCCTGCGTGGAAAAGAACAAGAGAGTCCAGCATATATATATATATATATATATATATATATATATATATATATATATATATGCAAATGAGGGAAAGAACAGATGGGGTAAAAATTCACGTAGCATTTGCTTTTAAATGTGCTCAAAATAAAGTAGAGCAATATATTATTATATTTTTATTATAAGAGATTATAAGAAAAAACATTTTGAAAACTGTTGCACAGCTTTTATGTTTCAATATTATGATTGCATTTTTCAGGCGATGGTAATTAACTTACTTACCATCGTCTGAAGAAGTGCAATCATTGTATTGAAACATAAAAGCGTCAGTGTAGCGGTTTCAAAATGTTTTATAATCTCTTATAATAATAATATCTTGCTCTACTTTGTATTGAGCGCGTTTTCAATATATATATGTAATTATATATCTCTCTCTCTCTATATATATAGGATGTCCAAAAAGTCTCGGCCAATTCTTCACTGAGGCCTCCGATGCATTTGAACCACGCAGATAGCAATGTCGGATAGCAGCAATTCATTGATTCTGATTCAATCTAAAAGTCATGTTTCTGAAGCGGCGAAGACCAAACTGCAATAATACAACAAAATAAAATCTTCAATAATACATGTACATTATCTACATTGTTCAAACGGCTGTCCTCATATTTATTACCATATTCAGGACGTTTCAGCTGTTATAAGTTCCGGCCTTCTTCAGCTTATTGGAATTTCGAACCGAACCCTTTATTTCGTCCATCGAGATAGATTGTCCGAAACGTCGGGAATATGGCAGTAAAGATGAGGACAACAGCCCGAACAATGTAAAGAACATAAATAATTACAATTCTTCATGTGGGTGTGTGGGTGTGTGTATATATATATATATATATATGTGTGTGTGTGTGTGTGTGTGTGTGTGTGTGTGTGTGTGTGTGTGTGTATACCCTCAAACGCTCCCGAAAAATTAATTTCGGTCGAGCACTCTGGAAAGAAAGCGCGATTTTGTAAACAGTGAGTACTGATGCTGATAATGCAAAGTTCTTCTATGAATTGAGCTCTCTCGGTCACTAACATGTTTATTCAAAGAATAAATACGCAAAATTTTACCTTCTTTACCGGGAGTCGGGGTAAAATCTCCGACTGATGCCAAATCAGTCGGGTTTCGATCCCGGTTTGAGGTAGTCGGATGTCCAGCTAAATTGATGAGCTGTGATGCAGCGAAACAGTCTGTCTGTGGATGACAATATATATATATATATATATATATATATATATATATATACACGAAACAGACAGATAACAAAATATGGATAGTTGCTAATAACTATATTTGAATAGATAGATTTTAGATGTGGCTTATTTGCAAGAAGTATGTCCCCATGTTTTAAAACGAGCAAGAATGTCTTGAAGAAGCAAATATCTGGCTTTGAGGAATGGTACATTGTTTATCGTTTCGGCTACCGACAATTGAATAAAAGAAAATATCTATTTTCTTGGCCGGCGACGCCTAAGCACCGCTTACACTTATAAAAATAAATGACCTAGGGAGCAATTAAAGAAATGGCAGGAAGGCCAGAGCAGTAAAGGAATTAGTAAATGAATGATTTGAGAGAATGACTGTTGGGTCGACCGGGGCCGAGGTAGTGGTTAGGGTTTGAAGCTGGTTTGGAAATAGGGACTGAAGAAGCGTTAAAGACGAGATGAATAGGAATCAGCAAGAAACGAGGAATGGTGAAAAGGGAAATAAATGAGGAAGGTCCAGAAAACAAATAGAGTCAAGGGAATGGGGTTCTTTGGAGCTATGAATATAAAGAAAATGGCCGACTTGAGAAAAAAATATGCAGTTTAAAGCTGTAAAACTAAAAAAAAAAAAAAAAGCGCGAGTTTCTAGAGAAAGAGAGAAAGGGAAAAGTATACCAACAAGAGTGGGTAAAGATGCGCGGGAGTGGAAGTATAAGAAAGAAAGAAAAAAGAAGGAAAGACAGAATTTTGGTAAGAAAGAAAGAAAGAAAGAGAAAAAGGAAAAAGTATTTTGCCAAAAAAAGAGAAAAGAAAGAATTTCGGAAAGAGAGAATCAAAGTATATTAGAATTTTGCAAAGAAAGAAGGGAAAAAAGAAAGAGAGTAAAAAAGAAAGAAAAGCCTTTTTAAAGAAAGAAAGAAAGAAAGAAAGAAAGGAAGAAAGAAAGAAAGAAAGAAAGAAAGAAAGAAAGAAAGAAAGAAAGGAAGAAAGAAAGGAAGAAAGAAAGGAAAGGTATTTTGCAAGACAAAAGAGGAAAGACAGAAATTTAGTTAGAAAGAAAGAAAGAAAGAAATTTGGTTAGAAAGAAAGAAAGAAAGAAAGAAAGAAAGAAAGAAAGAAAGAAAGAAAGAAAGAAAGAAAGAAAAAGTATTTTGCAAGAAAAAAGGAAAAAAGAAAGAATTCTGGAAAGCCTTTTTAAAGAAAGAAAGAAAGAAAGAAAGAAAGAAAGAAAGAAAGAAAGAAAGAAAGGAAGAAAGAAAGGAAAGGTATTTTGCAAGACAAAAGAGGAAAGACAGAAATTTGGTTAGAAAGAAAGAAAGAAAGAAATTTGGTTAGAAAGAAAGAAAGAAAAAAGAAAGAAAGAAAGAAAGAAAGAAAGAAAGAAAGAAAAGTTATTTTGCAAGACAAAAGAGGAAAGACAGAAATTTGGTAAGAAAGAAAGAAAGAAAGAAAGAAATAAAGAAAGAAAGAAAGAAAGGTATTTTGTAAGAAAAATGGAGGAAAGAAAGAAAATTTTTGCCAGATAGAAAGGTGGAAAGAAAGTAAAAGAGTTAAAAAGAAAGAAAGCTTTTTTCAACAAAAGCCTTGTTAAAGAAAGAAAGATAGACAGAAAAAGTATTTTTGCAAAAAAAAGGAGGAAAGAAAGAATTTTGGAAAGCCTTTTTAAAGAAAGAAAGAAAGAAAGAAAGAAAGAAAGAAAGAAAGAAAGAAAAAGAAAGAAAGAAAGAAAGAAAAAAAGAAAGAAAGAAAAAAGAAAGAAAGAAAGAAAGAAAGAAAGAAAAAAGAAAGAAAGAAAGAAAGAATTGGAGACGCAAGGCATTAAATGAACAACCGTACAAAGAGTAAATAAAAAACAAAATATGTTACAAATTCATTTTTTTTTTTCCTTTATTTCTATTTTCCTTTTTCGGTTTCTTTCATTGTTCCTTCCAAATTATTATTCTTTTTCCTTTCATTTTGTTTCTTGTCTTTTGATTTATTTCTTCCTCGTCCTTTTTTATTCTTTTCTTCCTTCCTTTCTTCATTCGATTTTTATTCTTTTGATTATTTTTCTTTCATTTACAATTGTTCGTTTGTTCTGGTTTTCTTTCACTTTACTTTTCTAATTTTTTTTTTTTTTTTTTTTTAATTCAAATTATTTTCTTCTTTCTCCTTCCATTTATTTTCCGGTTTTTCTTTCGTTCCCGTTATATTCTTTCTTTACTCTATCTTTTTCTCTCTTCTTTCATTTTATCTTTCTTTCTTTCTTTCTTTTTTTTCTTTTCATTCCTCTTCATTCTAATTGTTTCTAAGATTTTGCTTATGTTTTTCTGTCTAAATTTCTGGGTTGAGGAGTTTTAATGATTTCCATTGCTTACATTCGGACTATTGACTTCATCTTTCTTTCTTTGTTGTTATCCCAAAGTTTCGACCTTCATCAGATGCATATTGATCTGGCTAACCCACAGGGAAATCAGAACTGAGCCGTTTATGTAATCTACGGCGGTAGGCTGTTCTCGTTGCACTAGATGAGATATCCCTAGACATGGCCGGTGTAACGAGACTTGAAGGTCGGAGACTACAGCTGACCAAAAGTTTTCATAACAACAACGATGAGGAGAATAATTCGAATGTAAATAGTCTGAATAATGCTTATGATTTGTTTATAATTTTAATTTATTCTTCTTAAAATTCCTTTCTTTCTTACTTTCTGTTTATCTTTCTTTTTTTGCTTTCTTTCCTTTTTCTTTTTTTCTTACTTTCTTTTTTTCTTACTTTTTCTTTTCTTTTGTATTTCTTTCTTTTCTTGCTTTCTTTTTCTTTCTAACTTTTTTCTTTCTTTTTTCTTTCTTCTTTCTTTCTTTTTTCTTTCTTTCTTTCTTTTTTCTTCCTTATTTTTTCTTTTTCTTTCTCGCTTTTTATTTCTTTCTTTCTTACTTTTTCGTTCTTACTTTTCCTTTTAACTTTCTTCTTTCTTACTTTTTCTGTTTTCTTTCTATTTTTCTTTCTTTCTATTTTTACTTTCTTTTTACTTTATTTCTTTATTAAATCAAAGGAAATAGTCAAGTGATTTAAGAAGCTTTGTAAAATGAAAAAATCAAAAAATCAAAAGTAGAAAGAGGAATGGAATGAATAAGTTTAGAAAATGCGTAGTTTGCCGCTAAAATATTTGCATATCACCTCCCAATGCCAAAAATAGGGGGTCGAGCCTAAGTAAAAGCTAGAAAGTTGATGGCTCGTTTTCCCCGGCAGGTAATCCCTCTCTACTTTAAAAATTGGCGTAACATATTCCAGTCCCTCCACTTTTAACCTAATGTTGGACTAAGCTTATTAAATATCGACAAATTAAAGGAAACAAAAATGTAGAAAATTAAGTTAAAAGAAGGAAGAAATGATAGAAGGAAGAGAGGCTTAAAAAGAATGCAAAAAGAAAATAATCTGAAAAGGAAGAAAGGAATTCTAAAAGGAAAGAATGATTTTAAAGGGAACGAATTGAAAAAGGAATAAAAACGAATACGAATGAAAAGGGAAAAAGTACAAACAGAAAGGTGAAATGAATTTAAAGAAGAAGCACGGATGAAGGAATTCAAAAAAGAAGGAAGCATTCAAAACGAAAAAAAATAAAGCAAAAATTTGTGAAGGAAATTTCTAGATAATAATGGTTTGTTAATAAAAGTGTTACTAATTAACCCATAGCCAGGGTGGAAAAAAAGGTAATTGTACAGTAACCAGTTTTTCCATGTGATACGGCCGTAAGCCAAAAAGGAAGAATCCAAGATGGAAAGTAGAAATTATGTTATGTTAAGAAGAACTAATTTCAAAAATAAAAGAAAGAAAGAAAACATTCGGAAAAGGAGCAAGGAATACGAATATGCAGCAAAGAACATTGAGAAAGAAAGAAAAAGTATTTTGCAAGAAAGGAAGAAGTAAAGAAATAATTGTGTAATGAAAAAAAAGCATATTGCAAGAAAGAAAGCAGGAAAGAAATAATTTTGCAAAGAAACGAAAAAAATTATTTTGCAAGAAAGAAAAGAGGAAATAAAGAAAAAAGAAAGTAAGAAAGAAATATATTTTAAGGAAAAGACATTTTAAAGAAAGAAAGAAAGAAAAAAGGTATATTGCATGAAAAAAGAAGGAAAGAAAGGATTTTGGAAAGAAAGAAAACACAAAGTATACTGCAAGAAAGAAAGGAGGAAGGAAAGAATT